AATGCCTATGTAGGGTGTGAGCCTAGCGCCACCCAAAATTGTGTTTATGTTGATTATGTTATAACAATCCTGTAAATGTATATTATCGTGTCGTTCATATTACTATACTCGAATTACAGTAACAGAACTAAAGTTTATAACATTCAATTGTGACATTTAATATCATACATGAATTGTTAGGGGAAGAAACGGAAGGGGTATCATGCCATCACACGACCGTCTGAGTTGTTCTTTCGTTCTGTTCGTCTGTTCATCATTACTTCTCTGTATACGTCCTTGTTATCCGCCATTAAACTACGTCCACACAATACAGCATTGGTTTGTCTCAATTGCCGCTAAACATTATCTGTGGGGGTGGATTTCTGTGACGAGTTTGTTCGCTATACAATTCTTTAAATGTAATCCCGGAGTATACAACAGCTGAAAGGGTTGTATCTGACGTATTCGTTTTGGGGTACGTGTTAAGCATTTCAAATTATGATATACCAGTATTTTAGTTTGCATAAATTAAAACTACTTCTAATCCAATAACAATCATACTCATACATTTGACGTTATTGTATTTTATTTCAATATCTCAATGGGATAATACGATAACAATAAAAATTTACTTACTTACGTACTTATATTGATATAATGTAATTTTGTATGCATATATTCAGAACCCAAGAACCCGATGAATTATGATGTTCCCAAAGAATGGTTTGGGGACAGTTTGTTGGTCAGTTCGGGCGCAAAATGGAAAAGACAAAGACGACTGTTGACTCCTGTATTTCATTTTGATATGTTAAAACCATATGTTGATGTCTACAATGATTGTGTTGAGGTATTGATGGTGAGTGTGTAATGTAAAAGTCCATCTGTCAATATAGATAATTTAGTTCACCGTTGTTTATTTGTTGTGTTTCGAAATTCAACAAAAAATAATGTTATGTTTCATCTCAGGATAAATGGAAAAGAATAGCCAATGATGGACCAATTGAAATATGGGAAGATATAAGTCTACTTACTCTGGATTCCTTATTAAAATGCATTTTTGGTGTAACTAGTAATTGTCAAGTGAACAAGTAAGTAAGGAAATATCAATTGTTAAGTTTGTTGTTGGAAATCCTTTTTCAAGGAGCACAAATTGTTTGTCCAATCAGTTACGAATTCACTGTGGCGCTACTTTTTCACCCGTACTGATTTATTAGACATGTTGATACAGTCGTGATATTTGTTGTATGCTACATTTTCAGGGAACACGACATGTTTGTCCAAACAGTTAAAAATTTTACAAGGTTTGCTACAAAGAAAATAAGATTTGCCAACCTACCTCCATTGCTATTTCGATATTTCACTTCCGAAGGACGTCAGTGGGAGAAGACATTGCAGTTCTTACATAATTATTCAAGACAAGTAATTCGAAACAAAAAAGTGCAAACAAATAGAGAAGACAACAAATGTTTAGATTTCCTGGATATCTTGCTGGAGGCAAAGGTAATTTTTGAGAATAACAGATATAGATGTATGTCGGACATTTCATGCCACAGTAGGCAGCGAGAAAAATGAATCATGAAGGTCATATTTTCGCATTAGTGTATTTGACTGAACTCTGCCTCAATATGGAAGAACCCCATTTCCTATTAATTGTTTGCGCTCACTGGAACAAATGAGATGCAAATATCATTATAACGAATGGTGGCGAATAAACATTGCATTGTCTTGAGTTAATCTTTGAAACTTATAGGCACACAGATTAAACTTGTGTTGTTGATTTTGGCAAACACAACGGTGGCTGCCTTGCTTCCTTTGAGAAAATCTACATTTTAACCAACTTACATGACATTCTATATTATGTTGATTTTATCATATGAAAGTTTATAGTGCACTTCATCAATTAATAAACAAATGTGAAAATCGTAATTTTCAACACAAATAATAGTCTCGCTACCTTAAGTTGGTTGAAGCAAAGGTGGGTGGGTATCTGCCATGATTGTCAGCTTGTTCTTCGCTGTTTACGTATTCATATTCCAATTTTGCATTCTCCACTAAGGTTCATTCATGTTAACAAAATGTTGTTTTCCAGTATGAAGATGGTAGTGGATTAACTGATCAAGAAATACAAAATGAAGTCAGTACATTTCTTTTTGCTGGTCATGATACAACTGCCAGTGGAATTTCATGGTGTTTGTATAACCTGGCTAGATATCCGGAATATCAGCAAACATGCCGAAAAGAAATCGACGAGCTTATGGAGAAAAAAGAGAACATGGAAAGTAAAATGGTCAGTATAAATATACATGTATTATAATCTTATTCTTGGTGCGTTTAACTCTATGTTCACCCGCCAGTCAGCTGGCGCACACCTGACAATAAATAATACGATATTCACTTATATGGG